GAAATTGATGGAAAATTAAATGGCGAGGATGAGGCAGGGCTGAAAAAGACTGGAGAGGCTGAACATGTGGGCCAGTAACTGGCTTCCGAATTTAATCCCCAAATGCCAAAATCATGAAGATTGGGGAGGGGAAAGAAAACCCAGACAGAGTTAAAGGTAGGTGGCAAAGACTAAACCCCAATCAGGGAGAAAGACCTTGGGGGGGACCATACACCCAGCAATCACCGGGGCACACATCAACCCAAAAACCGCGCAGCATACGGGCGCCTGGCAAACCCCGAGAAAAGCGTTCCCAACCTTAATAAGGAATCGTTTTAAAACACTGTCACTGTGTATGTTAGGCCCCTACTGGAGTATGCAGCACCGTTGGAACCCCCCAAACCCGGTCAAGACGTCAAAAAGTTGAGAAAGTACAAAAATTTGCAACAAGGCTAGTCCCCGGCTCAAAAGGAATGTGTACGAGGAAAGGTTAGGGGAAATCGGATGACGACACTGGAGGCAGAAGGGCAGGGGAGACATGATAACGACATCAAAAACTGCGGGGAATGACAAGGGGGGACAGGATGGATGTTCCCAAAAGAGGGGCACGGACAAGGGGGGCCAAATGGAAGTGAAGACTCAGCGAGTACAGGGACGTTAGGAAGTATTTCTTCAGTCAAGAGTTTCGCAAATGGAATGCCCAGCAAGTGAAGAGTGGAGGCAGGAACCATACTAGTTTTTAAAAAGAGGTATGACAAAAACTCAGGAAGCAGGAGAGAGAGGATCCAGTAGCGATCAGGAAGAGGCGGGGCCCGGAGCTGAGTCTCGACCCCTGCAACCAATTAGTGAGTAAATTTGGGGTAACACCCAAAAAAACAGGGCCCAGTGTCTAAACACTGTGCTAGGGGGAAAATGGGAACAAAAACCACGCCCCGCACGCACCCACACAAATACTGCGTGGGAATGATAGGTAGACAGGAAAAGGTTGTTACAGGAGGGGACACAGAAACAAGGGGGGACAATTGGGAAAGGGGATCAGAAATCATAGGGATGTTTGGGGAAATGGAATGCCTAACAAGTGATTAGGGGGGCATTAACCATCATAGCTTTAAGAGAGGATTACGGCTTTTGGGAAACAGAGAGAGAGGAGGGCCTGTACCGATCGTGAAGATTGGGGCCCGGAGTGGGTTTTTCGACCCCCGCAACCACATTTGGGAGTACACCACACAAACACCCACACACACACACCCAACACATGGGGGGTCCCGAAAAAATGGAGAGCCAGATGATGATGTGGTACTTGAAAACCATGCATCAAATGTCAGGGACAAAACCCGAGAGAGAGGGGAGGTGAGCCAGCAGGGTGGATCTTTTGTTCACCCGAGCAGTTTTAACTTGAGGACATCATTATGAGAGGCCCCCTTTGGAGCTAGCGATCATGTGGTTCTGAGTTTTGATATAAGTAAGTTACAATGGGGAAAGGTAAAAGGAACTGAAGGGGAAGGGCCCAAACTAAAAAGGGGGGACTACACGGGATGAGAAAAAATTCCGCGGGTTTTTTGGGGGCAGAGAAAAAGGAGGGGAAAACGGGAAACGAGATGTGGAATAGTGGCAACAAAGTGCAAGGGGGCAGAGGAAAGTTTTTTTCCCCAAGGGAAACGGAAATAATGGAAACCCAAAAACGAGCCCTTGGGTTTTTCCCCCGAAGGGTAGGGGGGGAAAAAACAAAGTGCAACAGAAAAGGAAAAGGTACGGGAGGCATACGCCCCCGGAAAACAAGGAGTTTAGTAAAAGAGCCAGAAACGAGTATGCACAAAAAAAGGGGGGAGGGCCCAGCGAAGTATGAAAACGACATACCCGAAAGTCAAATCGACCCGAAACTGCTGAATACCACTTTGGGGGAAAAACAGTAAAGGCCCAGGTGATAAGGCGAGGAAAGAAGGTGGAGAACTCACAAAAACGATCAAAGGTATGTGGGGAGCCAACACGAATTTAAGGAATTTTACAGTAAGACGGGAAGGGGACTCGGGGGGGGACAGACCGATGGGGACACCAGAAGGAATACACCAAAAATTTTTGGCGACATACATCAGTGAGGAGGAGGTGAAAAAAAATGCAAAGGGGACATCGATCCCAAAAAGGGGCAATGGACCAACAACATCTCCCCGTGGGGTCCTTAAGAGGGAGCAGAATGTTGGCTGCCACTTACCACAATCTTCAACACATCCCTGGAAACGGGCCAAAACCTGAGGTATGGAAGACGGCAAATGTAGTTCCCTTTTTAAAAAAGGAGACAGAAAAGGGGCACAAACTAAGCCCTGTGTCATTGACTGTAAGTTGCAAAATTTTGGAGAAGATTATCAGGGGAGAGTGGTGGAGCCCCTGGAATGGAACAGGAGTAAAAAACCAAAACCCCACGGATTACGAAGGGGAAAACCTTTCACAAACCCTTTTGGAGTTTTAGATAAATAAAGAAGTAAGACAAGAGAAGAGGGGGTGGGGTTGATTGCATCTTTTGGACTGCAAGAAGGGCCCTTTTACACAGTTCCCCACAAGAGATTATCAGAACTAGAGCATCAGGCGCATAAAACAGGGAAAGGGGCCCGCAATGGATCAGAGAATACCTGACAGGGGGGCAAAACGGTCATGGGACTAATGATGTATCACAGTGGGCACCTGTGACGAGCGGGTCCCACAGGGGGTCGGTCCCGGACCCGTGCTATTTTTTTGGGATATGTAACGCATGACGGAAGGGGTTGACTCAGAAGTGTCCCTGTTTGAGATGAGTGGGAAATTAAAGAGGGGAATTAAATCTATGAGGGCCAGGGGAGGAATTTAAAGAGACCTGGGCAGACTGGACACCTGGTCCAGCAAAGGCTTCTCAATTTAATCCTGCCAAAAGCAAAGTCATGAAAATGGGGGGGGGGCACAGAAGACCACAGCAGATATAGGCTAGGTGGCCAAAGACTGCAACCTCATCAAGGAAAAGATCTTGGGGGGAGAAACACCGAGCATGTCTCCGGAAGCACACATCAAACAGAAAACTCTGCAGCATATGGGCGCCTGGCAAAAACCCGAGAACAGCATTCGATACCTTTTGTAAGGAATCATTCAAGAACGTCACCGTGTATTCAGGGGCCCTACTGGAGTATGAGCACCCTGTTTGGGAACCCGCACTTGAAAAGCACGTCAAAAAAAAAATAAAGTAAAAAGGGTTTTCGACAAGGTTTGTTCCAGACTAAGGGGAATGTCCTATGAAGAAAGTTTAAGGAAATCGGCCTGACACACTGGGGACAGGAGGGGCAGGGGAGACATAACGAAAAAAAATACTGCTGGAATGCAAGGGGGAAAAAAGACAGGTTTTTTCCAGGGGGGGGACACAGAAACAAAAAGGGCCAAAATTTGGAAGTTGAAGACAAAAAATGATCAGAAAAAAGGGAAGTATTTTTTCCCAGTTCATAGAGTTGAAAAGGCAGTGGAATAGCCTAAAAAAAGGGACTTTAGTGGAGGCGGGAACCTTTACACAGTTTTAAAAACGAGGTTTGATAAACCCTCATGGAGCGGGGGGGAGAGGGGGCCTAAAACAACCGGTGAAGGAAGGGGGGGGCCAGGAGCTAGGACTCACCCCTGCAAACCCAAATAGGGGGGAGCAAATAGGTGAGTACAATTTATATATATATATTTAAAAATTATATTATATATAAAAATATATATTATATATATATATTATATATATATATTTTTAAAAAATTATTTAAAAAAAATTTTTTTATTTATTGTTAATATTTTTTTATATATTTATGTATATTTTAATATTATATATATATATATATTTTTTAAAAATATATTAATATTTTATATATATATATATTTTTATATATATATATAAATATATTTTTTTTAATATTTTTATATAATTTTTTATTTTTTTTATTTTTTTATTATATATATTTTTAAATATATATATTTTTTTTATATAAATATATTATTTTAATATTTTATATATTAATATAAAAATTTTTATATATTTACATATTTTATTTTTTATATATAAATATATATATTTTTATAAATATAAAACATAATTTTATATTTTATACATATATATATATATAATAATATAATATATCCCATATATTATAAAAAATATTTTACAAATATATATTACATATATTACATTTATATACATTTTATATTTTTTACAAAATATATAATATATATAATATAATATATATAAAAATTTTATTTTAATATATATTTTATATATATATAATATATATATATAATTAAAAATTATTTATATAATATATAATATATATTATTTATATATATATAAAATATATATATTATATTATATATATAAATTTTAATATATATATATATAAATATATATATATTTTTTTTTTTAAAATATATATTTTAATATATTTTTATATATAAAATATAATATATTATATATATAATTATATAAATATATGTGTGTGTGTGTGTTTTTGGGTGTTATATGTCATGTATATACATATCGATTTATTTCTTTCATTATTATATATTTTTGCTTTTTTTTAGATACAAAACCCAAAGGGCCCAGTATAATTTTATTTTTCCAGGGGTAAGGTTTTACTTCTTTCAATTCATTTTGATTTAAAAGTTTATTTATACTATATACTTTGGGAAAATTTTTTAATATAGTTTAAAAATTTTTTTAATTATTTTTTTTTTTTTTCTTAGGGGAGCCCCTTTTGGAGGAAAAACCGGGCTGTATCTCCAGGGAAAATGTCCCATTCCCGGGCCTCCCCCCAAAACAATTCTACCAACCAGGAAAAAACTTAAAACCTATGAGTCCCTCCGGGAATCCAAGACCCAAACTTGAAGGCGTGGAAGGGGACTGTCAGAGGGGTAATTTGGCTGCAAAAGTTGAACATTATGGATCACTCCTTGTGATTTTGGTCATACTGTGAAGGATTACAAAAACAGATGGTTTTCCTGGTAAGTGTAATCTTTACTGACATATATTAAAATAGAAGAACAACTTCAAGGCTTTTATTAATTGATAACTTAGGTGTTCTTCCAACTTGGGATCATCCCTTCTTGGCCCACGTTGGTCATCAGTTGTTACTAGATGTTCTAACTAATGTCTTCCCAGTCCCAGATGCTGCCAGTTTCCTGGAGAGGTACCCACTGGTCGTGGCGGTTATCGACGGATGGGTTCAGCACGTGTGTAGTCATCCTGACGACGACACCTGGTCCATCAACCTTAAGAAGGGCATCGCATCAGCCTTTCAGAATTCTCTTCCTTCTAACTCTACCGCATATTCCGGTCATACCATTACCGAGGTATTATTGCAGTTACTGTTCTAATACATTTAATAATACATAATCATTACAATCTTGTTCTTATTTGTTTCTCAAACTTTCCACTTTAAATTTTGTTTTTATAAGGTTTGGAAGAGATAATTCCAGAAAAGTTTTTTTATACTCCTAATTAAAATAAGTAATATTTTAAATCCTAATTTCGTCCCTGAAAGTTACACTGTATAACACATTTTCTTAGATTTAAATTATCTCAACAGACGGACGTAGTAGGACGGTGTCCAACGAAGTACGAGGTAGAGAATGAGGGAGACGGAGTAATTATGAGGAAGGAGAAGAATCACCGGCTGTGCAAGGAACGTTACTACACCCCTGCTGAGACTCAGGTGCCCTGGACCAGAAGTCCTCTACCACTAGAAGTGTCAGAGTCTTCGTGTATACAAGAGATTAGGAATGGCATCTTTTCCACCATCACATGCGAAGATATGAACGTTGTTCGGCCTAGTTACGGTGCCTATAAATATGTTGAAGCCAAACAGGAGTCCACACTCAGTTATCTCTCAAACTCCAATGAACAGTCACCTGCCGACTTTCAAGTGCTTCAAAGTAACATGGTCCGCCAGAGCCTCTTGTACAATTATGATCTAACCAAGAAAGACCCTTCCTTGGTAGCACAGCTGGATCAGATCATGAGTCAGATATGTGAAAAGACTAAAGATCTTGTTGATCGTGATGTTGCTGCTCTAGTGGCAAGAGCTGTACAGCTCCTACGTAAGGTGCCTGAGGAAGCTGTGGAACAAACTTTAGAGAAAATTCGCAGCAGCCATTACTGTCAAGACTACAGGAAGTTGGAAGAGCTTTTCCTGGATGCTGTAAGCTTCGCCGAGTCTGGTGCCGTAAAGGTTATGGTGAAGGAACTGGTGAGTGGCCAGTCTCCAAATAGTCGTGTTGCCCTCTACACTGCTGGTCTCTTCCTCCTTCCTCGTCCATCCATCCACGCCGTGATGGCTCTGAAGCCACTGTTTGAAACCACCCGGCCTCTAACAATGCCCATTCTAGCTGCTGCCACCATGGTAAATACTTATTGTCGTCACAATCGTAATTGTCACGAACAAGTACCTGTTAGAAGCCTAGTTGAAGCTCTAGGTAATAAACTACAAAGCGAGTGTTCTGCTTCTGACGATGACCTGACTGTAAAAGCTGCCCTAACAACGCTCAAGGCTCTGGGTAACATGGGTGTGATGACCCAAGAGGTCGCCACATCTGTCCTTGGGTGTATGGAAACTGAAGAAGTTGAGAAGAGCATCCGTGTGGCTGCGGCACAAGCCTTCAGACAGGCAAAATGTAATCGCACTGTAAGTAGTAGGCAATGGTTTGGTTGAATGCTTATTGATGTGAAAGTGTTTTTAAATCTTGTTGGGAATAATAAATTTTGTAAAGAGTAACAAACTGAGTTAAGAAGTAACAGTGCGTAAACTATATTGGCTGTTCAAGGTGAAAACTAAACAAGTTGGGTATTAAAATCAAACTATACATCACTATAACAAATGACAAGACAACAAAACGTTTCATCTCTGGATATGTTAAGATATATGTCGAAAGAGTGCTCTCATGCCGGTGATCGGCTTTTGGTCCAAGGAGTTGGACTTACACTTCTCGGGACTGAACCTGAATGCTTCCCATTCTCCAGATGCTGCATAACTTTACAGGTCTAAAATTTTCCGTTAATAAAAATAAAATCATAAAATTACAGTGACACACTGAATAGCACTGTTTAGTCAGGGTAGGTGTTTAATGACATTTCAGATACAAATTTCACATTGATCAAGTCTGATACTGAGCCGCTATGTTACCGCATACTCATAGCTTTACAATGTTACCTTCACCAACACAAATAAAATGCTGTGCAGTTACAAGTGCTACCCACACCCCACACAAAAAAAAATATAAAAATGTTACGGAATGTATTTAAACAAATATTATTTAATCAGACTTGTGAGCCTGCTAGCCAAATCAACAGTTGATTACTTGGTAAAATTTGAACCATATTAGGAAATCATTTCATGGTAAGATAAAACGCGCATGCGATGTGTCGTCAAAAGCCGTGTACTGTCAGTTTTCCTGCAAAATGAGTAAATTTATTCAGGTATACACAGATACAGTTACATAGAATATCATACATAGCAGCATATGTGTAGAGAACCTGGGATAACCCAAAAAAGTCAGAGTGACTTATTTCCATTGGGGTCCTTTTACCTTATTATTATAATATAAAGGTTGTAATATTTTATTATTATTCTATAATGAAGATAACACCTTATTATTATACTAAAAAGACTATCTACTACACGAGGGTCATTAAGACAATACGAGGGTTATTACTAGGAATAATGTAAAATTACACGTGTGTTAGCTAAAAAATAAAAAATCATTCCCCTCCCTTTCTGTAGCTACATCCATCGGACACCTTTTGGCACTTCTTGAACTGGTTCATGCGATGACTGGCTTTGACATGTGCATGCAGTCTGTTCCATTCCTTTATTGCTGTACAATAAAAGGTGTTTGAAGCCTGGCCACTTACTGACTAACTGAACAACAGCTAGAGCTTTCTCAGTTATGTTTTAAGATTTTTTATGTATAGTTGTGGCCTAGTTGGTATGGTACCGAGACGATCTCGGTTGTTAGTACTGGGCACCGTTTCATTTTTTTAACACGTCGGCCGTCTTCCACCGAGGCAGGATGACCCAAAAAGAAACACTTTCACCATCATTCAACACTTTCTCCATCATTCACATAATATCACTGTCTGCAGAGGCGCCCAGATATGACAGTTTAGATGTCACTCCAAGCTAGAAATATCCAAGCAACTCCTTTAAAAGTGCAGGCATTGTACTTCCGACCTCCAGCTTAAGTCCGGCTAACCGGTTTCCCCGAATCCCTTCACAAAATATTACCCTGCTAACACTCCAAGAGCTCGTCAGGTCCCAGAAACCATTCGTTTCCACTCACTCCTATCTAACACGCTACATCCCCTCAAGGGAGGTTCCTTGACGCTGGTGAGGGACTCTTGATCTAGGAAATTGGCTCTGTGCACCAGTTTAATGAATGAAGCCTGAATACCTTCCATCCCCCCCCAACAGACGCTGTAAAACCCTACGGGTTTAGCGCTCCCCCATGATTATAATAATACGCTACTTACGCCTGCTGCATGTCCGGGGCCCTTGCACCCCAAACCACTTTTACTCCTTTCCGTCCAGACTTTTCAAGGACGACCCCTACCCCTCCTCCCCTCTACTACAGTTTTATACACCCTCCAAGTCAACCTATTTTACGGCATCCTTTCTGAATGACCAAACCACCTCAATAACCCCTCCTCACCTAATTCCCACACTACGAATTCTCAGCATAATATTACAACACACACATTGCCCTTAGACACATCACTGCCTCCAGCCTCTTTCTCGCTGCAACATTCACAACCCATGCTTCATACCCATATAAGAGTGTTGGTACCTCTGTACTCTCATAGATTCCCTTCTTTGCCCTCAGGGATAACGTATTTTTTTTGTCACTACAGATACCTCAATGCACCACTCACCTTTTTTTCCTTCATCAGTTCCATGGTTAACTTCCTCTTTCATAAACCCCTCAGTTGACATATGTACTCCCAAATATCTGAACACATTCACTTCTTCCATCCTCCCTCCCTCCGGTGTGATATCCAATTTTTCTTTACCTAACGCGTTTATACCCTCATTACTTTCCTTTTATGTGTTCACTTTTAGCTTTCTATCTTTGCACGCACTTCCAAACTCGACCACTTACCTTTGCAACTTCTCTTTAAAATCTCCCAAAAGCACAGTATCATCGACAAAAAGTAACTGTCAACCCCCATTTTGTATTTGATTCCCTATAATTTAATCCCGCCCCTCTCATAATTTTACAGTCCATAAAGAGCCTGTCCTATCTGAGCTCCTCTGCAAAGACAGTGATTATGTGTGAATGATGGTGAAAAAAAATCTTTTTTGGGTCACCCTGCTTCCGTGGGAGATGGCCGACGTGTTGAAAAAAGAATTATAAATATGTGTATATATATTATATATATATATATATATAATATATATATATATATATATATATATATATATATATATATATATATATATATATATTATATATTTTATATTATATATATTATGTAGTATGTATATATATGTCGTGCCGAATAGGCAGAACTTGCCATCTTGGCTTAAATAGCAAAACTCATCTTGCCATATAAGACAAGTGAAAATTTCGTCAATCTTTGACCTATCGAAAATTATTATTGTTTTGTTATCTAAATTGTAAGATTAACTATATGGTAGCTAAATAAATTGCTTAAAGGTTGAAGTTTAAGATTTTGTGCAAATAAAATTTTCATTAACATAATGAAAAATACTAACGATAAGAAATTTAGAAGGACTTATTAATGAGTTCTGCTATGACATTTTACATCGGACGAATATATATAAATAATAATATATAATATATATTATATTATAATTTAATAATATATATAAAAATATTTTATATGCAATAATTCGTCATAATATTCTAAACTATCGAAATATATATATATTTATATTATTATGTTTATATAAAATATATTTAACTATTAAATAATATTTATGTTGCGGTTATGCAAAAACTGGTCCATTAAAGAACTCATTTAAAGGTAAGTTTTCTAAATTTTCTTTTCGTTTAAAGATTAAATTTTTTACATTAACATTGATGAAAAAAATTTATATTTTAACAAAGAGAATCTTCAGAAAGACTTACTTTTAAACTATTTATGAGCAATTTGATTTTACCTAATTCCAACTAAATATATTATATAGATTGTTTACATAAATTTAATACTAAAATAATCATAAAATATATTTTTTTCGTTAGTATACAGAATATTATGACAATTATTCATACACATATTTTACTATTCTATATAAATGAATTGCTATATAATCAAGATAATATCTCTATATGAACATTACATATATATATACATATATATATAAAATATATATACATTATATATATATATATATATATAATATATATATAATATATATATATATATATATATATATATATATATATATATATTGATTAAATACCACTCTTTCGTGGTTACAATAATATATATACTGCTTGTGGAAGATAGTATACCAAACAGGGAATAGAATGAAATAAGCTCAGAGGCACTCACACCACCGTATGTCCTCGAATCACGGTAAAACACCTAGCTCTGCTGAGTGCGTGATCTTTGTAGGATTGAGTGGTCCTGTAGGTTAGAGCTTCATATGATTTTGGCTCACCATGAAGCGGGCCAAAACGACATGGGTTCTAGTCCTCGGCTAGTCGCAGTATTGTTATTGAATACATGTATATGTGTGTGTGCATGCGTGCGTGCATGCGTGTTTGTGTGTGTGTGTGTGTTTTAAAATATATAGCAATTTACTATTAAACACTGAATTTTTTCTTGCAAACCATCCTACAGACATCCGAGAAACTTGTGAATTTTGCTGTTAATCCTGAGAAACCCACTGAGGTCCGTATTGCAGCCTACCTTGAGGCTGTTAAATGTGCTGAAGAAAGAGACTTTGAAGAGATTGTCTTTCAGATATCCAAGGAGGAAAACACACAAGGTAATTAAGATTATAGTTCTCACTTTAACTTATTTTTGTTAAATACCAGTAAATAACATCCATCATATATGTCAAAAATCTAAAATAATAATATTTATACTTTTTATAATTTCAGTTCGAGCATTCATCCTGAGTCATCTTCTTAACCTTCAGCAGTCAGATGCTCCTGACAAATTACACCTACGATACCTTTTGACAAATATCGTTATTCCCAGAGATTTTAACGCAGATATCAGAAAATATTCTCGCAATATAGACCTGTCATATTTCTCACCTTCTGCGGGCGTTGGTGCTGGCTTGGAGTCCAACATTATTTACGACGCGGGATCCTTCGTCCCTCGTTCCATTGATTTCAACATCACTGCCGCTTTAGAGGGAATTTCAATGAACATAGGCGAGGTTGGTGCACGCTTTGAGGGTTTAGAACCAGTCATTGAACATTTATTTGGGCCTAAAGGTTACATCCAGAAAGCTAGTGTAGGACAAATATTCAGTGAAATTGCAAAAAATGTTGAGAAGAATGGAAAGAAATTTGTTGAATATATACAGCAAAAATTTGGACTAAAACGTTTAGCTGATAAGTCTGTATTATCCAGAATATTCCATAAAATTTTCAATGACGGATCAAGAGTTGTGAAGGCTGACCTTTTTGCTCGTTTTATGGGACAAGAGATAGTTTTTACATCAATTCATGAAGACCTAAAGGATATCAGTGCTGACAATTTGATTGAATCTCTTTTATCTTACTTTGAAAACATCATTCCGGAAATGAATAACTTGAACATCAATTCAGCCCGAAGTGCTCAGATGTCTCTTGAATACTTCTTACCTACTATCCAGGGAACTCCACTCAAGGTTAAGATGGAAGGAACAGCTGTTGCTGGGCTAAAAATGGAAGGAAATCTTAACCTAGTTGACATCTTATCTAAATGGAAGAAGGATGAAAATATTATCAGGGTTTATCCTAGCTTATCTGTACACGTAGATAGCTTTGTTGGCTATGATGCCTACCTCGATAAGACAGGAATCAAGATGACTACAAACATCTCGAGTAGCAATGGTCTCTCTCTCAGCGTCGTGAGCAAGGACAATCAAGAGCTAGAAATTCAGTTGGATCTTCCTGAAAAGATGGAAATTATTAATATGAAGAGCGAGACATACCTTATGAAGAGTGTGAGAGGCAGCCCAGAAACCAAGATCATTCCAACATCCATGAGGGACATTAGAGTCAGAAGTCACTCATGTGTGAATAGTCTTGAATCCGTGTTAGGTCTTAAGTTCTGTTATGAGATGGACATCCCAGACATCTTCCGCAGCAGTTCTCTACCGCTTGGGGCTCCGGCTGTTGCTAAGTTGTACATCGAGAAGACAGAGTCTTCTATGATGGGCTATCACCTAACTACATCCATTCAGAAGAAGAAAGGAAGCAAAATGATGGTAATTAAGGTAGACACACCAGGATCTTCTATACCAAGAGAGGTCGAAACATATTTATCCCACACCATAGAGGAAGATTCCTATATTATGTCCGCCAGAATAAGATCATCTGCACTCACCAGCAGCATTTGGGTCACCCTTATCAACAGAGATGATCATAAAGCTGTGACTGTTCATGCCAGACACCAGTCTAGTATGACAGATATATCCCGTGGGATTAAAGTAGATATCAAGATAAAGTCATCAACGAATGGGAAGGAATATAATCTTGACATATACAGTAGTCGAAGTAGGAATCTCCATGATGAATCAAAAATCTTCGAGAGCAAGCTTGTCAAGAAAGCCAATGGTTCTGAAGTCTCTCTTGACCTTTTATCCAGGACACAGAATGCTTTAAGAAATTACTTGGATTTCAGTCTAGCATGTACGTACTATTTCAGTGACAATTTTATTGTTAGTTATAGAGTACATTCTCTTTTTCCTTACCTTCCTCTCTCTCTCCCTTCACACGGATTTCTTGATTTTATTCATGAGATTGTTGGATATCACATTCTATATGAAAATTGGTTTTGACAAATTTATATTATAGCCATCACATTTTTTTCTTTATTTATATATAGTTGGCGCAGATCTGAGGTACCTTCCGCATTTCCACCTTCCTATACCAACGAAGCTGCGCAAGATTGAGTTTCACACTGGCCTGAGAGGCTGGCTGGTCAGCTCTTACATCCGTCGAACGTCAGAGTCTGATGACAATGTTGAACTTTCCTCTGCATTCAAGATAGCTTGCAGAAATGAAGACTTGATCTCTGTTGAGGCTGCCCACAGTACACAAGGAAGGCTCTGCTCGGATTTTATCTCGGAAACAACAGCTAAAGGCAAAGTATTTACTAATTAATAAATTCAAATATATTAACTGGATCTGATTTCTGTAGGTGGGAAGTACAAAACCTGCGCTTTCAACTATAGATACTGTATAGTCCTTGTGGCTTAGCGCTTCTTTTTGATTATAATAATAATAATAATAATCAACTATAGATGAGGATGTTGGGGTTAAGAGGGTTATTTGCATTGCAATGTCCCCACTCTTCTGGCAAGACAGCTATTGAGTGAATGAGGGTGAATGTGCTTACTTTGTACCGTCAGTCAACCTTGACGAGAAACAACAGATGTGGTGGAAATTAATTTTCATATTGAACAGTACGTTTCTGTTGACTATGTATATCAGTTTAATATTTTCTAATAACGTAATATATAAATAATTTGTTAGGTGGAATAAATAATTAGCTGAGTATAATCTAATTAAAACTAAATATCCTCAGTGAAAATGGGCCGCGCTGAGTACAAAGCAGCTTCCAGTATCCACTGTGAATATGGCATGAAGGGAGCATCTTTACAAGTAATTCGTTCTGACGAGAATGTGAAGGTGGTTGACCTTGAAGCTATCCAAGCTTGCTCTGGCCAGTCTTGTAACACAAAGGTTATGGTAGGTTTGTGCAACTTTATGCTTTACACTTATTATAAACGTCATTGTTTCTCCTGAATAAATATTTTAGTTGTTTACAGTACTGGAGATTCCTAATGTAGGGAGGGGGTAAAAGAGGTTTTATGTGTAAGGGGCTTGGACATACAGCAGGCATGTGTGAACATGTTAGATAAGAGTGGAGACAAATGTTTTTGGGACCTGACGAACTGTTGGAGTGCGAGCAAGGAGGTGTGGGAAGTACAGTGCCTGCACTCTAAAGGAGGGGTTTAGGATATTTGCTGTTTGGAGAGATATCAGAACTGTCGTATCTGCGCACCTCTGGCAAGACAGTGATATTCTTAATTATGGTGAAAGTTTTCTTTTTCGGGTCACCGTGCCTCGGTGGTAGACGGCCAGCGTGTTTACGCATTTTTTGTTTCAACACCGAAACAGAGTGACCCCCCTGAAAAAGAAAACATTTTCACCATCATTTACACCTAATCACTGTCTCAGATACGACAGTTCAGATGTCACTCCAAACAGCAAATATCCCAAATCTCTCCTTTAAAGTGTAGACATTGTACATCCCACTTTCAGGACTCAAGACTAGCTAACCAGTTTCCCTGAATCCCTTCACAAAATATTTTTACCCTGCTCTCACACAAACAGCTCGTCAAATCCCAAATACATGCCTGTAATGGTACTGGTTCCTAGTCTATATTAAATAGTGTTTTCCTGTCATTTAGTTTCACGTCATTGTGAAATTATCAAGATATATATGTATACTCTTAAAAATTAACCAGTGTTGCTGGAGTGTTGGTACTAAAAGATAATAATTTATCCCATATTTGTAAGCTGTCACAGTTACTGTTTTCAAATTATATGTTGTTACTGGAAAATTTAAAGAGAGTGTGTTACTGTTAGTAGAGAAGTTTGGACATATTTCCTCTTATAATTACATAATTGTATCCCTGTGTATTTGTTCCTAGTTAAAATCTCTAATCTGGATGCTGGTCATGAAATATTGTTCGCAGGTGTTCATTCCGGAGTTCATGAGAACCATCAAGGTCGAGAGCAGAGTGGTTGAACAGGAGCAGGATCTTTATATGATACAAACTGCCGTCAAGCACGGAGACAATATCTTGCTTCAAACTGAAGGATCAGTTATGGCAACATTCTCTTCGCAAATGACAAGGCTTCAGACTGCTTTGAAGATTAACATATTCTCCAGGACGCACAAGATTGCCTCTACTTTCATTTTGTCTGAAAATCAGGTATTAATAGCGTTTAATGTTAAAAACGAACAGCATTCAATATTTTCTGGAGAATGGAGTATGATGACTGAAGGAAGGCCTGTGAGGACAACCATCACCTTTAAATTTATACTGCCAGTTCTAATGGATCTTGAAATTGACCTCATTGCCAGCGATCGCTACGTCAGGGTTATGGCTAACAGTTTATTATTTCCGCGGAGCTCGTCCCCTCGCAGAGTGAAAAGCCTTACCAGTGTTGACCTGGAACACAGGAAGTTCAATATAGATGTCTCCTGGGATGCAGATGATAATCCAAACATGAGAGTCGCAGCTACAGGCTACTATATGACCAAATTGGCCGACCCTCATCACACCTATATGTAAATATAGACTTACTTTAGATAACTTGAAAATGAGGAACTGTATATTTCGGCTAAAGACGGAGATCCTCTACTGAAGAGGGTTTGTGATGAGGCCGAAGTATACAGATTTTTTTTTTCACTCGTTTCAGTTTTCTTTTCAAGTAGTTTCAAATTTTTCATCGATAAATATTTACGTCATTGTGAGTGATGATAACTTATTTTTTCTGGAAAACAAATTCAGTTGGAATAAAAGGAGGGCTCATGTGTGTGTTGAAGATATTATAAAAAATTATATATCAATACTTTTTTTTAACAAGTCAGCCGTCTCCCACCGAGGCAGGGTGACCCAAAAAAGAAACACTTTCACCATCGTTCACACATAATCACTGTCTAAGCAAAGGCGCCTAGGTATGACAGTTCAGATGTTACTCCAAACTGGAAATATCCCAAACCCCTCCTTTAAAGTGCAGGCATTGTACTTCCCACCTCCAGGACTCGAGCCCGGCTAACCGGTTTCCCTAAATCTCTTCACAAAATATTACCCTGGTCATACTCCAACAGCTCGTCAAGTCTCAAAAACCATTTTGTTTTAAGAGTGATGGTGAATGTTTATTTTTATTTTTGGATCCCCTTACCTTGGTGTGTGTGTGCGTGTTTGCATGCTTGGGTATGTTTTTACACTATGCTATTTCTAATAATGAATTCTGTATTACAAAAAAAATATAACTATTCCATGAAATTAACACCAGACTTCTGTTTCCTGTTTTAGAGGGACCATCCAGTGGATGTCGCAGATCTACGAAGTGAAGGTTAACTTTACTGCACTAGATCCTTTTGCCTATTTCCATGGGAACGGTGGTCTAGATGTAGAAATAACTACTACCTCTCAAAAGGCACTTATCTTTAAAATGAAGAACAGCGCTGTAGAGAAAGAAAACTCGTGTATATGGGAGACCCTTATTAGCTACAAGAACCTTAAGAACGAGGACCACATATTTTCAAGTGTCATTGCGTGGGTCAAACTTGACACCCCTTACAACTACAAGGTTATGTCTGAACTGAGCTACACATCGCCAGAAGGCCACATGACGAGTGTCGTAACAGAAGCTAAGCACCAAACTTCATCCCAGGAACGCCTCGTGTACCTAAAGGTGAAACATGAAACATCTCGAGTTAGAATTAATTTTCTGTATTATATTATTATTATTATTATCATCATCATCATTATCATTATTGTCATGGTTATTATTATTATTATTATTATTATTATTATTATTATTATTATCATCATTATCATTATTGTCATGGTTATTATTATTATTATTATTATTATTATTATTATTATGGCCCGTTTGTGGCCATTCAGTGCAGGGAATGGTGAATGCTTGGCTCCTCCATGTACTAAGCGTCAGGCACAAATTTTATTCTTGCAGCTAGGCATAATTAACCTGTTAGAATTTATATGTATGTATCTATACACCTAAATTGTATGGAAACTTTTTTTTAGACTTGACTGAAAACTGTGCATGATATTTCAGAACAATTAGGAGTGATATTTTTTTTATTTTATAATTTTTTTTAACAAGTCAGCCGTCTCCCACCGAGGCAGGGTGACCCCAAAAGAAAGAAAATCCCCAAAAAGAAAATACTTTCATCATCATTCAACACTTTCACCTCACTCACACATAATCACTGTTTTTGCAGAGGTGCTCAGAACACAACAGTTTAGAAGCATATACGTATAAAGGTACACAATATATCCCTCCAAACTGCAAAATATTTTTAATTAATATCTTTGCACTGTCTCTTGTTTTCCTTAAATTTGGAACTAAAACAAATGTGTTTTCACAACATTGAATCAAGGCACCCAATCACTCCTTTAAGGAAGGTAAGTGCCAAGATGCCGGTGAAGAGATTTTTGATTCAGAGCCAGCTTCTCTTTCCTTGGATCGAATCCGATTGCCGTCCATTTCCCGAGAGCTGTATGTTTTACTGATTAATTGCTCCTCATGAATGTAATAATTCACTAAAATTGAAAGGTATATTAACATAGTTTAACTTGCTTTCCTTCAGAGTTCAATTTTGACACGGAACACAATTTTGACGCGGAGCGCAACGAAGCCTCTAGAAGTGGAATTCCTGTCATATAGCAGGGATAACTATTATAGCATCATCTGGAAGGCGGACATGAATACTCCAGCTACCATGTTTCAAGTGGGATTTGGAAACTTTCCCGGAGGGAGGTGTGAGATTATTTGATTCTGCGTTAGACTTGTCAGCCATTCGTGACCTCCTTAAAACTGCGCTTAATATATCTGGAAGATACGAAGGAGGCTATGACAACTTGGATGTACTTCCTGACAGAGAGAGATACCTCTACAGCTATCAGAACCTTTCACCACGCACCTACTCAGTAGTATTTGAGTCTCCAACCCGCATTGTGGAGGGTGAAGCAGAGTACTCTCCATCTAAGACAGGTTTGACAATCTATCCTAATAAAAGAAAGAGTGATGCTAAATACGAGATTACTGCCAAATCCTCCCATAGTCATTGGGATCAGCAGTCTAAGTATGAAGGCCGCATTAGTCATCCAAGGCTGAGCAAAGATTTGCAAATGGAGGCTCTGTTCTCAGGCAGTGGAGAGAACATGAGAGGCACCATTAAGTTGGACATCTTCCCCGACAAAGCAGACGAAATTACAGGTACTCTACAGTCGTCCAAGATCGCCAACAACACCGTCCAAATTGAGGCATCATTCACTACTAGGGTAGGTTAAAGAGTTTTCTCTTGTAGGAGATGATTTATAAATCTTGAAAAATTATTACAGTAGTACCGGAGTAAATTCTTGGGTAGCTTTGGGTAGTGGTGGCTATCATAAGGACCTACATTGTATGGGCCAGTAGGCCTTCTCAGTGTTCCTCCATTCTTATGTTCTTATGTAATATATGTTTCTAAACTTGTAATTCTCACAGGTACTGAAGGTAAGCCCGAAGGTCATCATAATAGCGGCTTATACTTCACATATGGTTGGCTTTGATATGCAGTTCCGGAAGACTCCCTCTTCGCCCGTATTATTCCGAGTGTCGGCTAAATATGACCAAATCCCTACTGGAGAAGGAACAGTAGCTTTCCATGTGGTGAACAAGGAAGTTACTGTGGTAAACATTGCTGGTGTAGTAAAGCCAGACGAAGAACCTGAATGTGACGGCTTCACGGTCAAAGCTGTAGCTCATATTTCTCCCATTGGAAGCTATGGCATTGACTCCAAACTCTGCAAACCACTTTTTATAGCACTGACAATCAATAAGCAAGGAAGTGACAAGTTTTATACTACTGCAAAGTTTGGGTTTGAAACGCCTAATAATATCGAAACTAGTTTGTCTGTCAAGGCCCAAGATAATCAAGTACCACGTCCTATTGCAATGATGCGCTTAAGGCTTACTTCTCCAACTCTGCTCACGATTGATATGGCTTTCATGAAAGAAGATTTTGGCGCGATGAAGGTAAATTTCTAATTACATGTATTCTTGTGCATCATTTACATATAATGCAAACTATCATGTTATTCAGCTGATAAATGTGTAGACCAGATTAGATTAGGAGCGAATGTGAAGATATAGAAACCAGTTTAAAAATTTACGGTTTAGCAGGCATCTTTTGATTTATGCGGTTTCTTTTATACATATCTAAATTTGTTTATTTGTGATGGCACCACTCGAGCCATTAATTCGCTTAGTGAAAAGAGAATTTAACCTCGAGTGGTGATATTCTCATAAGTTTTTTCTGTTGTTTATATTAATTCTTAAATGGTTTTCTTTATATAACAGTTAGCCGAGTGCCTTGTCTGCTCATTTTTCTTTGGGTAAAAGCAAGTGAAGGTTTTTTTGTCTAGTTTTGTCAAGTTACCAGACCATATTTAAGACCGAAACATATTTTTAAAATTGATTTTTTCATTTGTTTTGACCAAATTCATTTTTGTATGATTTAAAATAATTGTTGTATGCGCATAGTTTTTAAATGTCAAGATATATATTTTTTTAGTTAGGAATTCGTTTAGTTTAATGAAATTATTTGGTTATTAATAAAAAATTCATAATTATTTTGCAGACTGCTGTGCAGGAAGAGTGTGGTAAAGTTATAAAGTCTATTAGCAACTGGGCTGATGGCGTGTACACCTACCTGAAAGAAGCAGCCCAGGAACAAGACATTCACTTCCCTGACCCCAAGATCCTCGAGCTTATCACCGAAGTCAAGAATGAATTGCAAGATATATACCAAAACGTGATGTATGAAGGAGTCATACCACAGTACAAAGCTCTTCGTGATTTGGTGGCTCCTGTTGTCTCCTACGTCACACGGTATTTGTACAGCCTATTAGTCGGCTTGGCAGATGCACGGGTCAACATTATAAATGCTCTCCTCGAAGAAATAACTAATCTGCGGGAACAACTGAAGACGTTTACTGAGCTGTGCGTAGAAGGTAAGCTTTACATTTTAACACACTACCTAGATTCACATTTTAACACACTACCTAGATGAGGGTCTTTTTCTAGTGAAAGCCATTTTAAAATTAGAGTGCAACACACTGTCTCTGAAGCAGTTGTCATTTTAGAGATATTTTGCAAGTTTAAACAAATTCAGGAACAGTTACTTGCACACACGCACGCTCTTTTTCTATTTGACTTTAGCACGGATTTTCGTGTCATCTGAAACTAGGAAACTGCAGGAAGCTACAAACCACGAATGTAATCCCGGTCTTCAAAAAAAAAAAAAAAAGAAGATTAGCTGACGCGTATATTAGGTTTGGAACATTAAAATAATAAGAGAAAAATAGAGGAGCACTCCAGAGGCGGACACAAGAAATAGCTAGTACGGGTTGAAAGCTTGCAAAAGCCATGATGAGTCTTTAGAGTTCTTTAACCGAGTAGTAAAAAATAGCAAGAGGGTGAGAGAAATGGATGGGCAGTCTGCATATTCATGAGAATGTAAGACCAAGGGAGGTGGGAGGTTAATTGACGATGGTGAGGGACTTGATTCAAGGAACTAGGCCTAACATTCCCTTCCTTGAATCGAACCTCATTGCCTCCCACTGCACAAGTACTGTGTGGCCCCTGCAGCTTCATCTCTCCCTTTTTATGAATATAATTTTATAATAATAATAATAAGAAGAATTAGGCTGAAAGATAGTATTTAACACAGCCACACCTCAGGCAGATGCACAGCCTGGAAATGTAGGCAGGAGTAACAAGGAAGGTGCTAAAGTGGATACAGGAATACATGGAGAACATGAGGGGGATATCCTTATGAAAGGAAGTATTACATTGGGAAAGTGACATTCCAACTGTTTTTTCAAATGTACAATATCAGGAGGTATCAATAAAAATTCATAAAATTTCCAGTAAATCCTTCGGGAAGATTGAAAAGCAGATGGATTGTAACTGAAAAACTAGGCAATTTGTTCGTAATGCGTTACTGATGCAGCTTCCTTAAATCTTATTCGCAAAATTATTATTTTTTTTTTTGATCTTCACTGAAATTTATTTCAAGAGGAAATGTGTCCGAAAATCACAGTTTCAGTTTAAATAATAAGGAATTAACCATACTTTGTGAAAAGCAATGAAGTAGCGCCATGTGGTCTTACATGTGGTTAGGAAATCTGCGATATTTGTATAACTAATTTGTACTTTGGTCATGAAATTTGGAATGATGCTGTGAGATTCAATTTCAATCTTGCTTTTAGATATAATTAAATTATTTAAAGAAGAGAGTGCAGTAATAAAAATCAAAACTGTAAATTAAAGATACAAGAGCGTGTAGCTTAAAATAAATAAATTTTAATTACATTTTCAAAGTAGGTTTTGTTCATTTGTAAAGAAAAACTAGATGCGAAAACGAACAGGTACCTGTAATTATAACCGACACAAAATATAAAGATCATAAATGGATTGTGTCAATAGTTTTGGTGAAGGCGGCAAGATGGGTGGAGAGTGGTGAGGTACCAGAGCCAGTGCGCCGCCTGCTGGAACTCCTGCAAGAAACTAGCATCTTCACGATGCTCAAAAATTACGTCGACACCTTAATTGAACGATACACGGAGGAGTTTGAGGCCATCCAGCAGGTCGTAACGAAGGTCAGACTAAATCTCTGGCAAGATCTTGTGAAATTACGAAAACGGATCTCTCAGATGCCTGCTGTGGAGCGAGCCATTAACTGGGTCATCAGCCAAAACATCTCCGTTAGTATACTTTCTTCTTTGCTTGCTTGTTTAAGTATTTTCTGTTTGTGATTCATTACGTATCTTTTTCCTTTCAAGAAGAGCGCCTTAATGCTTGAGAAAGGCTCGTAATTCAAGGAACTAGAGATACCTACCTCTTCCTCGGATCAAATCTTGTTGCCCAATTTCCAGGCACATGATGAGTTGATTTTTTCCCATGATTATAATATATATAATATAATTAAATATCACAATATGCAAAATATAATAATAATATATAAAATAAATATAATATATACAGTTTAATAATATATAATAAAATAGCCTGCATATTTAATGTTTATTAATACCCGTATCTACCAAAGCCTGTTCTTTATATATATATATATATATATATATATATATATATATAAATATATATATATATATATATATATATATATTATATATATATAATATATATATATATTATATATTTTTATTTTCCTCAGGATAACTGGATGGCCTTTGAAGCGAAGACATTAATTAGTCAACTTCTTCAGGAACTTAATTTCGTCTCAGCAGAAAAAGAAACTAATCACATCAGTGCGAAAATACCGTTGCACACTCCAATGTACTCCTTAACCCAAGTTCTCAAATCATCAGTGCCACATCCCATTATGATAGCTGAAAACCTGGTATGGCGTTATGCATCTTTCATTCCCGTTCCAGTAAGAGACTTAATTTGGGGATATTATTCTCTACCTCATCGTATGACAGACTTGTTGCCTCCTTACAACCGCACAGCCATGGTTGTGAGTGACACAGAGATTGTCACCTTTGATGGCGCCGTGCTTCGTGCTCCTCGTTCACCGTGTCAAGTTGTCTTGGTTGTCTATGGTACCAACAAGATTACCATGGCTCATCCACAAGCCATAGCCCCATCACAGATCACATTTTCTACCAACTCCACTATCGTCACTGTTAAACCAGATTTCCGCATTGACGTCAACGGTCAAGAGATGAGCACACAACGACTAGCTGTAAGAGAAATCATAATTGAGAAAACTTCAAGAGAAGTTAATGTAACGTCGCCCTTTATCACAGTACGAGTATTTCGAGAGCGGCGTGTGTTGTCGATAAAGGTGTTGGGATGGACTTTCGGACACTTGACGGGTCTCCTTGGTAATTATGATGGTGAAGCTGGCAATGACTGGCTGATGCCTTCTGGCATCAGGGCTTCCAGTCTCCATGAGCTGGTATCTTCATGGCAGGAAGATCAGCAGTGCCACACCGCACCTATTTCTCTTGTGAAGTCGGTCAGCGTCACTATAGAACGGGCTGCGCGATGTTATGGATTGCTGGAAGTTAGGTCGATCTGCTCCCCAGTGCTTAATCCGGAACCTTTCGTTAAGATGTGCTACGGGGCTCTCTACACATGTGACGCAGCATATGCTTACCGAACACTTTGTTCCAGCATGGGTATAAACCATTTGTTTCCTGTTCCCTGTTAAAATTATTCTTTATATTTATGAATGGCAGTAATCTCTTGGGAGAAGAGATATTGTATTGTTAATATGTGTAAAGATAAAAATATTAATACAAATTATTTAAATTAGTATAGAGTTTGACGTAATAAAGTTTTGATCATTTCGTTATTAAACGTAGGCATAATAACAAAAAGTTTTTGAACCATGTTGTACCTTTAAAATATTTGTATTTGTTAAAATGACATCAGAATCAAATAATACTGAAATTACCGAACTCTGGCTATAAGCTGGACAGGTTCAAATGTTCGTTCATCTGATGTATTAAGTATTTTAAAATTACTTTCACGTGAATAAAAATGTCTGCTGGACACAATAACTTTAAAAAGTGCCAAGTATACACTACTATACATGTCACACTATATCTCTTACCACCTCAGACGTCAACATTAGCGCCAGCTAGTACAAACGAGCTTCAGTTTATGTTTCAAGTTTACACCAAGCTAACAAACAAACCACTCACTTCGCGATCTACCGCATAATCATAATGCAGTACTGCATATATATATATATATATATATATATATATATATATATATATATTATATATATATATATATATATTAAAATATATATATATATATATATATATATATATATATATATATTATATAATATATATATATATATATATATATATATATATTATATAATATATATTTATAATATTATATATATATATTTATATATATATATTATATATAATATATATATATATATATATATATATTATATTTAATATATTATATATATATATATTTAATAATATATCAACATCTAACCTTCTAGTAGTATGCCTGACAGCTTTAGTATATAATGACTGTATATTCCTATTTGACCCTTGGGGAATGCATATATAATAGTCATAGCTTGTGGCTAGGCCTTGGGACAGTATGTCTCAATGATGAGTATGTATTTTGTCTCCAAGGAGATTAGTCAGATACTCCTAAAGAGTGAGCCAAGCGGTACCACACTTGACAAGCTGGGCGGGAAATTACCGGTAATCATTTACTAACTTAACTAACATATAATGTATATTATTATTGTATTGATACGATAAATATATATTATTAAATATGTATAAAATATAAACAATATAGGGATAAAATGATAAATATATTTAATATTTATTTTTTATATTGATCTATTTTATATTTATTGAATATTATTACTATTTCATGGGTAAATATATTATAGATAAAAATATATATATTATATAGATAAATTAGGTATTTATATATATTAATTATATATATTTAAGAAGTCGGCCGTTTACTGCAGCATTGCATGTGTAATCTTATTTATTTTTTTTTTTTGTAAGGAGTATACATTTCATTTGTTTGCAGTTATATAAACCTACGTGGTATTACGTTTACCCTACTTTTGGATTTTAATTTGTACATGGAAATGCATTTTACCATTCTGTTATGCAATCCTTCTGTAACATTATATCGCCTATTGATTCATTGCTCTTGTCAGCCCGATACAAATGCCTGTCTTTTGCAAATATGTAATAAAATTATGAGAAACAATTAGGGAATACAAATGTGCATAAACTATTATGTTTACGATATTTATTTGTTTTCCTGTCTGGAGGTCGTATTGTTAGTTTGTATGCTGGCCAGACTACTGTTTTACGCCATGCTCTGCAGTGGCGTAAAACACTAGTCTGGCCAGCATACAAACAATATGGGATATCAGTTTTCATCAGTCGGAAGCCGGATCAAGCCAAGATGGCTGGGCTTAGGTCTGTGTCCTAATGTATTTCATTATGATTTCAATCATAACTGAATATTAGCACTGAATATTCCACCTAGCGTGGCCACTTGAAGTAATTACTGTGGCAGCCAGTTTGAGGACTTCGGATGTTTGGCTTTCGCACTGCACTTTCAACAATAGATATAGCAGGGCAAATGAGTAATATTGCCCACCTTTTGTTGCAGTTCAGGGTTATGTTCTGGCTAGCACTAGGTGGAGCTAGAATGAGGAGGTACTTTAATAAATTTATTGAATTTAGTAGTTTTTGGCTATGGTAGCTTCCTCATGTTTTGGCTTGATGTCATGTGTATTGTGACATCTTTGTCAGTTCAGAACTCACCGTCTATGCCTCTTATTAGATTGTGAGCGTGTTAATGGGAGCTACCCAGCCAAAATTGTTCCATATTATATTTTTCGGTATATAATTTCAAGTTTGAGTATCTTTTCTGGGTTTAAGTATCGCTTATGAGATGAAACCTGACCCATTTGTCAAGGAATATGTAAACTTTACCAACTGCTCAGTTATATGTAATCAGTAGCTAATAAATCTGTGAAATAAAGCCTACTGTTTATCCCCCGTAATTAATAATTTATCTTGGGCATTGCTTGAGCAACAAGACCAGACCTTATCGTATCGTAAATTCTAGGTATCTCTTCAAGTGTTGTAAAAGCTCTTGATTCGAGGAATTGGGGCTACCCTAGGTAGGTAGGTATCCTCCCTTGGATCAAATCTGATTGCCTTTCATTCATCATGCGCTGTATGACCCGTATGGGGTTAGCGCTCCCTATGAATATATTTACCTGGTTTTGAATGCATTTAATCAAATATGTCATTGTGAAAGTTGTTATCCTAAGGAAGTTCAGACTTTAGAGGCTCCATTTAATTAACAGTACCCTGAAATTTATAAACCATTGGATAGTGGGACCCATCTTAAAAATAGAAACGAGTGAGGTGAACAAAAGTTGGAGTGGGAAGGTACTACCGAGAGAAGCAGACATAAATGAGTTAAATGTGGTCAGTTCAGCAGAGCCGCCGGGTTTAGCGCTTCCCCTTGATTATAATAATAATAATAATCAGCAGAGCCGGCTCATATATACACTAAGAATTCGTAGTCAATACGAAAGTTCTGAAAATTCTGCGCTAACCAAGTATTTTGTTGCAAAGTACATGACCAGAGGGTATATTATGTTTCGCACATTTTGTTGCGTTTCTAGTACTTATAAGACAGAAAGACGGAGGTTAGTGACTCACCAAAAACCTGCAATAAGGAGAGGAACCTTATGGCGACGTTTCGGTCAATCCTGGCTCATTGTCATTTCACAGTGGGGCGAGAACAATTGAGGTCATTGTATATATACGGTGGTGGTAGTAGTAGTAGTGGTGGAGGTAGTAGTAGTTGTGGATTTTTTTTACATAATTTCCTGAATGTAGAACATATAAATAATATAATAATTGTGTAATAAAATATGCTGATTTGATCCCATCGAGAAAGTTCGAGGAAGGGGGCCCCTCAAGGAAGGTTCCTTGATGTTGGTGAGGGGCTCTTGATTTAGGGAATTGGATCAGTGCTCCAGTTCCCCGAATTAAGCCTGAATGCCTTCCACCTCCACCCCCAGGCGCTGTATAATCCTCCGGGTTTAGCGCTTCCCCCTTGCTTATAATAATAATAATCGAGGAAGGGGGATGTAACAGCTGCTGAGGAACGCCGTGGGAGACGCAATGTTGATTTAATGAGTAATTACTAGTCTGCATGGTGCTAATAAATCGGCGTCTTCCGAGGCCAAATTGTTGTACCTAGGCCTCAATTCGTAATTTAGAAATTGCTGACACGTTCCTGCTGAAGAATTAGGAGCAGAAATTTGCGGGACCGCAAGATTTGCGTGTGGAGGACGGAAAAATAAAGGACATCATCCTCAACAATACACTTAAGCTAAATGACGCTTACCCATAGTACAGTAGTTTTTACGTTGGCCATCGTAAATTCTAGCTGCCAGGGGTTAGGTTAGGGTGTGTTCCATCAGTATTGTCTTCCAACAATTAAATGGTAAGTGGTAATTAAAGTTCTTTGTACTAACAGTTATATTTCTGTGTACCCAGCAAGTAAAACAAAAAATACAGTCCACAGCAATGAACCAGAGTCACTGGTTTTTATATTGTAATTATTAATTTAATGTTAGGTCTAGCTTTTTGTGAAAGTAGTAAGGAAGTGGGCAGTTGGAGAAGTTTCAGTTCAGTGACCTACTGTAACTTAAATCCCACTTACCTCAACCAAATTACTTGCAGGTAACAATTCAGGTAATGCCCTGTAAAACTCCTACAGGTGATTTGCTAATAATGATAAATATAATAATAATTTTTCACAGTAGTAGTAGTAGTGGTGGAGGTAGTAGTAGAAGTGGTAGTTGTAGATAGAATTAGCAGCAGTGACAGTGGTTGTTAGCTATTGAGAGGTGATACCAGTTAATGCAATCCTATAACATAGGACTGATGAGTAACTTCAATCCTATGCATCATTTATACTTCCTTTATGGCGTCTATTGTTCAGGTTCTTATGGCGTCTATTGTTCCGGTTGTTCTTATAGCGTCTATTGTTCGGGTTGTTCTTATGGCGTCTATTGTTCGGGTTGTTTTTATGGCGTCTATTGTTCGAGTTGTTCTTATAACGTCTATTCGGGTTGTTCATATAACACCTATTGTTTGGGTTGTTCTTATAGCGTCTATTGTTCGGGTTGTTCTTATGGCGTCTATTGTTCGGGTTGTTCTTATGGCGTCTATTGTTCGGGTTGTTCGTATGGCGTCTATTGTTCGGGTTGTTCTTATGGCGTCTATTGTTCGGGTTGTTCTTATGGCGTCTATTGTTCGGGTTGTTCTTATGGCGTCTGTTGAGTTAACCAGACGTGGGTTACCTCGGCTTTTGTTTTCAGCTACGACAGTGGTGGCAGTACAGGTAGCTAATTCTACAACCACCACCATTCCCCTGAAGCTGTATAATCCTCAAAATAGCGAGAGTCACTCCGATCCATAAAGGAGGTGACCAAGCTGACTTGAATAACTATAGACCAGTATCTAACTTACCACTGCTCTCTAAAAACTTTGAAAAATTAATTCATAGACGGAGCTGTTCCTCCTCGTTTCACACAACATATTAAACCCTTGTCAGTTTGGATTCAGGAATAATAAAAGCACAAATGATGCTATCATACACATGTAATATTATACACACTGAAGAAAGAAGTCCCTCTGGGCATTTTCATTGATTTACGAAAAGCTTTCGATACAGTCGACCATGAACTGCTGTACTCCAAATTATTGCACTATGGTATCAGAGGCCACTCCCTCAACTACCTAAAGTCATACTTTAGTAACAGAACTCGATATGTGTATGCAAATGATGCAGACTCTTCCACCCAACCAATCACAGTAGGAGTCCCACAAGAAAGCGTCCTTGGACCACTCTCTTTCTCATCTACATCAATGATCTACCGAATGCATCACAGCTACTCAAACCCATATTATTTGCAGATGACACTACATATGTCTTTTCCCACCCAAACACAGTCATACTAGCAAACACAGTCAATGCCGAATTACAGAAAATATCTGCCTGGATGATGACTAATAACTTACTTTGAACACTGATAAAACCTATTTCATTCAGTTTGGAAACAAATCTGCAAAGGATCCAATTAACATAACGCTAAATGGATCATCAGTCACAAGACTCACAGAGGGAAAACTTCTAGGT